CTTGTTTAAAGACTTTGGAACTCATGTGAGAGTATCAGCCGCAGCAGAGAGAGTGCCAGTCCTGGTGTTATTTTGAGTTTCTCCTAGCAGATGGGTCAAAAAAACAGGGATAGGTTTCTTTAAGCTCTCAGCTTAAAGCTCTCATCCTTGTTTGCCCCAAGGATGGAAAGAATGGATCCTTTGACTGAATCCCTGCCAAAGTGGCATACCCTCCTCCCTCTAAAGAGGGAAGCAGATTCTGGGTCCTTGCTGTCCACCAGCCAGGTCAGGTACGTGGCTGTTGCCAGCAGCAAGCGTTTCGAGTGTCCTCTGTGGCCTTTGCATCAAACGGTCCGGTAGTGGAGAGAAAAGGTTTGGGTACTGAACCTGCTGGGGTCCAAATCCTTGGAAGTGCCAGATAGTGCCTGAGCTATGGGTTATCTAACCGGATGAAATAACTTAAATCAGAGAGGAAGAGGATAAAAAGAATTCAGAATTCACCCAGGCAGGAAAGCAATTAGTTGAAAGAAGTTCATCTCAGCCCGGGGAGGATTCCAAGCTAAAAGCAAATGAAAGAATTACCTAAAGGTATTACTTGAACCTGGACAAGCCATCGTCCTCTAAATGGCCCCGGACTTCAAGCTGGGACTAGACACCTGGCCAGACCAGCCTTTGTTTTCATGGTGACTAAAGATCATGAGCCCAGTAGTAAGATCTTCCATGGCCCGGAGAGAGTCACTTCATGGCTAAGGCTCCCCCTAGATGCCTGATGCATCTGAAACAGCTGATGCAAAGTCAGCAGGTGACAGTCAGCAGTGTCGAGAGGAAGGCTCGCAGCCCTAGACACCTGTGCAAGAGAACATCTCAAATTAGGAAACTCAGATCCTTCCAGAAGAAACCAGAAAGAGAAAAACCCAAGAAACTCAAACAAGCATAATGAAGGAGATAAGACCAAAGCGATAATTAATGAAATTGAAAACAGAAACAATACAGACAATCAATGAAACAAAAATCTGGTTATTTGAAGGTATTTGAAGGTATCGATAAAATTGACAAACATCACACAAGACTGAGAGGGGAGAGAGAGAGATTAGTGAGAAGACGCCTACTCATTTAATGAGGCAAGCGTTATACCCCGATACCAAAACCAGATTTTTCAAGAGCACAAAAATAACTACAACTTAATAAAAATAACTATAATAACTTATAAATACAGACTGAATTCTTAATAAAGAGAGAAGGCACAGTTTCCCACTATCAGGAATGTAACAGGAAAGATCAATACAGACCCTGCAGACATCATAAGGGATATTATATTGTACTATTATAAGATTATAAGGGAATTCCACAAACAACTCTACACACATGCATTTGACAACTTAGATGAGATGGAACAGCTCCTTGAAAAGCATAAACTAACACAACTCACATCATATAAAGAGATCATTGGAATATCCCCTTTTCTAGGAAAAAAATTGAATTCATAATTTAAAGGCTCCTAAAAAAGAAATCTCAAGTCCAAATGATTTCAGTGGCGGATTCTACTAAAGATTTCAGGATGAATGAACATTGATTCTGCACAGTCCCTTCCAGAAAAATTGAAGAAGTGGAAGACACCTACTCATTTAGTGAGACAAGCGTTATACCCTGATACCAAAGCCAGATTTTTCAGGAATACAAAAATATTCCTTATAAATACAGAGTACTACAATATTCCTTACAAACACAGACCAAATTCTTAACAAAACATTAACAAATGGAATTCAACAATAAAGAAAAAGAATTCTAGACTAAGACCAAATGAGGTTGATTTCAAGGTGGTAGCATGTGTCAGTCCTTCACTTTATTAGGCTGCATCAGAATGAACCTCACAGGAGATGAACACTCCCCTCAGCCTGGGCAGACCTTTCCTACTCCAGGGCCTTTGAGGGCTCCTTTGTTCTGCTTGTCAATGGCCCTCGGGCCTGCACCCAGCTTCTAGTATTTCAGACTCACTGAGGAGGGGGCAGGTCCTTCTGTGGCGTGAAAGGGGAGCCTGTCGGCCATTTGTCTGGGACAGTTGTGGAAGCACCAGCCGGGCCGGGAGGGACTCCACACTCTCCAGGAGCTAATGGTTCTCTCTCTCATCTATGTGGGTAGAAGTTCCAGCCAGAGCTTGACTGTTTTTCTTGGAGATTCTGACACTGAGATGCAGAGGGCAGAAGTGTTTGGACTTTTGGGCCTCCCTGGTGGCGCAAGGGGTTAAGATGCAACCTATGAAGCAATCCGCAGCCTCTGCAGCACAAGTTCGATCCCCGGTCAGGGAGTTACCCACATGGCGCAGCAGACCTCTCCTGACTCATCCGCTGCTCCCCTCAGCAGTGTATTTCGGTCAGTCTGCCTGTTCTTCTCCCCACTCTGTCTCTGGTGAATCCTCTAGCCCCCCACAGCTCTGGCTGTACCCCGGTACTTGTATGCATAAATAAATAAATCTTTGAAAAAAAAAGTGTTTGGATGCCTGCTGGAACAGAATGTGGACACTGGAGGTCAAAGATGGGGCATGAGCCAAGTGGAGAAGGAACACAGGGACATCGACCTTCATCTCCCCCGGTCCCCTTCCTTTTCTCAAAGTCATCAATAGATGACTCAAGTCGGCTCCTGCCCCATCAAATAGATGACTGCATCAAAAGGATGTGGTATATCTGCACAATGGAATACTATTCAGCAATCAAAAAGATAAACTAGCACCATTTGCAGCAACATGGATGGACTAGAAGGGATTATGCTCAGTGAAATAAGTCAGAAGGAAGAAAATATGGGATGGTTTCACTTATAGGAGGAATATAGAGGATCCAAGAGATCAAGGGGAAAAAATTAACCCAAAAAACCACAATAAAACAAAACAAAAATAAACAGACAACTATAAATCAGAGACATTCTGCAGGGGAGGGGAGAGGGAGAGATCAAAACAAGGGCAGGAAGAGCACAAGGGACTATGGTGATGGTGCACGGGTGACGTGGTGGTGGGAATTCTATGGGGACTACACCTGAGAAAAGAAAGCAAACATTATACAAAAAAAGAAAAAGATGTGAACTATATACAAATAAATAAATTATTTAAAAAATTTGGCACAGTGGACAGCAGCAGCTTTCAGGCCCTCAGATCTGCATTCCACCACCTCTGCCCCATGTCACGCTCCCCTCTCAACGACAATGACCACATCAGGTTGCTGTGGAGTTCACGTGAGTGGGGGCAATAAACATGGCGCAGGGTGGGGCTGGCGCATGTTGGAGTCATCGTGTTGCCCTTGTGTGCCCTTGAGCCCTTACGGAGTCTAATTCAGATAAGATACAAGCTCCAAATTGCTGAAGAAAAAACAGGGAGAGGCAAAAAAGAAAAATACCCCTGGAGATCTAAGACTTGGGTGGAGCCCAGCCCTCCTGCTGCCTTGCTGCGTGACCGTGAATACGTCACTCTCCTCCGTGATTCAGTCTCCCATCTACAGAACAGGGGTGACCTGGTAGTCTCGAGGGCCTGCGCGACTGTGATAATTGACAGCTCCCTCTTGCCATTTTCCATTGGAAGTTTAAACAGTCCTGATCATAGGACCAGCCAGAGAAATTGGGTTAAGCCCTACTGTGCAAATGGTTGTGTGGGTTCATCAGACCTCAGGTCCAGCCACTTCATCTGCTGGCACAGAAAATGGACTCTGAGCCTAGAGGAGGAGGTTTGGGTCCTGGGCTGTGGGTTGTGGGAAATTGGGAGGATTAACTAGCCTGTTTGAGCCTCAGTGGCCCCATCTGTAGTGTGGGCAGGATTGCACCCCGGGCTTGCCTGGACGCACAGCCAGCCTCTTGGTTAACAAGGCAAGTTGTTTCAAAACCAAAAGAAACAAAAAGCAGGTCTAAAATTTACTCTGCTCACCCCAGATCCCCACACACGCCTCCTCTGCGTGCTCCCTGTTGGGGCTTGCTCTCCCAACCCCCTTATCCAATGGCTCAGGGGTGACCACAGCTCTGAGGCCGCGTGAGTGTCCCCTTGGCAGGTGTGGCCTCACCTGAAATGCCTAGTCTGATGCTCAGGGGCCCTGGCAAGAGGCAGGCACCGCGGGGTGTCAGAGGACCTCAGTTTCCAGGTCCCAAAGCTCCTCTTGCCCTTCCTGCTCTACCACACACCAGCCGCAGCACCCGGGGCAAGTTACCTTTCTTCTCTGAGCCTTGATTTCCCTTTCTAGAAAGTGGGCACTGAGAGCAAGTCCGTGTGGACCTTGTATTGCGGTGAGAGGAGAGGTGATACGGTCTGAAATGCTCACGTCACATGGACAGGCAGCTAATACGCCTCATCCTCTGGAACTGGATGTCTCTGCTTTAAATCCTGGCTCCTCCGCTTTCTCTGTGTAACCTCCTAGGCCTCAGTTTCCTCTTCTGTGAAATGGGAATAACTGACCCCAGAGAGCTGCTGTGAGAACACAATGAGGGAGTAATAAAGGACTAACTCTGTAGGGTTGTCTTAACGTGGTCTCTACATGACGTGCAGAGAAAGATGCCCGGGACTCAGCCCTTAAAAAGGGAAACCTGTCATGTGGGTGACCCAGCCCGGGAGGCTTGTCCCAAGTCAGGTCTGTCTTTGAGTGTATGGCCTGGGCTGTGACCTCTTGCCTACAATCCCTCAGCCTCCCTGCCCCCACCACCCGCCTTCTCCTCCTCCACCCCTGTTTGGCAAGGTTAGGCAAGGTGGGGTGGATCCAGGTGTTTGTGGCCCCAGGCAGGGGTGGGGCTCTGGGCATCTCCCCACCCCCAGGCTTTCTGAGTGCCCTCCCCAGGAAACTGAGCAGGCGGCTTGCCAATGACTCTGTACTAATGTCCGTTCAGGGGTCTGGGCCAGCTGCAGGGCAGAGGAGAACTGAGTGTCCACACCTTGGACCTGAGTGGCTGAACCACTGGGCCACAAACCACAGATGCTGACTCACAGCCTCTGCTGGGCGGTATAAAGGAAACAGCCCAGGGGCATCCTGCAGCCGGAAGGACCAGCTGGCTGGACAATGGCCCAGGGAACGGTGATCCATGTCACCCCAGAACAGCCCACCCATGCCGTGTGTGTGCTGGGCACCGAGACTCAGCTGGATGTCTGTGGGTGAGGAGGGGACACTCTGGGGGTGGGGGGCAGGTGTGGAGCTGCTGAATGAGCAGGTTCTGCCGACACAGGCTGTGAGGTTGGATCAGGCTGCAGGGTCCAGCCTCTGAGCCCCTGCCTGGGGAGAAGCTGGAGACCCAAGGTGGAAGTGGCACTGGGGTACGCCCAGACTCGGGGCAGTGGCTTCTTTGCTGTGTTCAAGAGGGGGCTCCTGAGGCCCTACCACAATGAAGTATTGCAGCACAAATAGCACCATCTCCTTTCATCGTTCAACCAATGGAAGTTCAGAGAAGGCCTGTGACTTGCCTAAGGTCCCACAGCATGGTGACCTGGGAGCAAAGCTAGACCCTTGCCTCTCAGCAAGCTGCCCTCGGTGGGTGTGATGTCCCAGGCTTCAGTATGAGAGACGCCCCCGTGGGAAACCTGGCCCTACTGTGGTCTGGCCGGGCAGGCTAAGGCCTCTGTTTCCTCATCTGTGAAATGGGGATAATACTCACTCCATAGGGCGACTGTAAGGATCCAATGTGAATAAGCATGAAATTGTGTAAGTACTCAGCACAGTGCTGGGCATATAGCCTGGTGGTTGTTCGTTCATTCGTTCATTCATTCATTTATTCATTTATCCATTAATTTGTTCATTCAACACATACCAGTTGAATGTCTATTATGGGCCAAGCTCTGTGCCGTGCTCTGGTTAAGCGAGGTGGCCTAGGGACACTCTTGGCCAGCGTGCACGGATGTTCTTAAGTTGTCATCTGCAGGCTTCTCTCCTTCCTCCAGGGTCTCCTTTTCAGCAGGAGGCCACCCAGTGGGACCCCAGGGAGCATGGAGTCTCTGAGTTAATAATTGTCTCTGAGCCTTGGTTTACCCACCTGTAAAATGGGAAAACTGATGCCCGTCCTAGTGGGTGGAGGTGAGGATTGAAGACTATAATGCACACAGCCCCTTCCCAGCCCTGATGCAGGTGCCCCACTGCCAGGTGGGGGGTTGGGAAGGAAGTGGATGCAGGAGCCGGAGGGCTGGGGTCACTTGTGCAGGTCAGTGTCAGTGCTGCTGTCCGGGGTACAAGGACACTGCCCTGCATCCCGCTCTGCGGCGCTGTCACACGGTCCGTGGCTTGGCCTGCATCTGTCGAGTGATCAGAACAAGTCAAGGATCGTGGCAAAGAGATCAGCGACTCGAATCAAGTAGGAGAGGAATGTCCCTCAGAAGCACTGCCTGGGCTTCCTAGAGGAAGTTCGGATTTTCCCAGGATTGGTGGTGGTGGCCAGGATGGGGCAGGGTTGGGCAGGATCAGTGTAGTTCCAGGGTCACGCCTCTGCATGGGTCACATGCTCAGGAAAATGGGCCATGATTCCCCTTTTTATTATGCAAATGGACTTAAGGTGCTGTTGGTCATGGAGGGTCCTCTGCGCAGGTTGCTTAGGGGCCTAACCAGTTTGGACCTAAATGAAGGTCTCTTAACAGCCCCAACTAGCTTTAATGTCTTTCCTAGGGTGAGGGGGACAATAATAAGGGTCTTTCCTGATAACTCTGGTTTGCTTTGTAAGTCTTCTGTTTCCCGGGTGACAAATAACACATGGAGCCCTCCCCCAACCCCACACACAGAAACACATGCACACACAGTGTAACCCACGTGTTCACAGAAACTTCTTGTTTAAGGCCTGAGAGGGCCTGGAGAGGGGAAGAAAGCCCATCCCAGTGGTGCCGCTTCTCAACTCGGCCTCATCTCAGAGCCTCAGTTTCCCCGCCTGGCAGAAAGGGTGGTATAAAGCCCTAGCAGGTGGCTCCTCCCTGCCCCTGATGATAAAGCCACATGGGCAGAGTGAGCCTAGATGGCAGCCCTGCAGGCCAGGTGCAGGCTGGTACTCCTGGGCCCCAAGACAGGGTCTTGCCATTGTTCATTTTCCTGTTATACTGACACCCAGCGTGTCCCTGACCTGGCACAGCACCCAGGCAGTGGGGGGCCTGGCTTCTCACCGCTTTGTGGGTATCGAGGAAGACCACCCCACATGGAGTAGGGAAGAGCCTCTGGGCTTTGGCAGAGAAACAAGGGCCCTTATTAAGTTCTGGGTTGGCCACGTAGGTGTGTAATCAAGCGAGGCGCTCAGGCAGAAAGGCTCAGTTCTGCAGGGCCTCCCTTGCCGTGAAGTCTCCTGCAGCATCTGCCCAGCGTCTCTAATTGTCCATGATTATTATATAATAATCACACACTGAGCAGTTCCCCAACATGGGCCCTCCAAACCTCATAAGGGAAGCAAGTGAGCCTCATTCCCATTTATAGAGGAGAAAACTGGTTGCAGAGAGGGTCAGTGCCTAGGCCGAGGTCACACAGCCTAGCAGAAGTGGCCCAGGCTCGGCCCCTCTTTCCAGCCGTTTGAGGCTGCCTGAAGCTTGTGGACTGCCCAGGAGAAGTTTTCCATGGACAGCTGAGCCCCGGCACCCCTGCTGGTCTGCAGGCAAGTGTCACATCAGAAACAATTTCAACATTTCAGCACAAAAGCTCCAGCACTTGCTGTGCCCTGCTAGAGGGCGTGACACAGGCTGACCTCTGGGCTATGCAGGCGGAGATCATCCTCTCTATGCCTGTCCTGCTGTCTCCCCACCCAGAGAGTCTGTGTGCCCAGACCCAGGGCAGTGCTCCCTGGACGACACCCCAACCATCCTGCTCCCCACCCCAACACATGGGTACCAGGCTGGGAGCTGGCAGCAAAAGCAGTGTCTGCGCTAAAGACACAGGCACGGACACCTGCTGTTAAGAGTTGAGATACTTGGGATGGTGTCCTTGTCAAGGTGGACCGGGGGACCCCACAATCAAACCCCAGAACCTCCAACTGAGCAATTACCATCCTCCAAGCCAGGAGACCCTGGGGCCACGAAACTTGCCCCACTTACTTTGGTCCCCGGTTAAGGCTGGTCTTGCAGTGTGTATGTTGACTAAATGAATGAATGAATGTGTGTTTAAAGAGCTGTGCCAGCACATAGTAGGTGCCCTTGAAGTGCTGAATGAATGAAAGGTTGAGACAGGGCAGGGTTTTGTTCATATTCCTGCCCCTGCGGTGCTGGAGCCAGCAAGCACTCACTACCTGACCCTGTGCAGCAGGAGAGCATGGGGGTGTGGGGGGGCATGGGGATGGAGGGACATGTGCTCAGAAGCAGCTGCCCGCTGGCTGTTGGCCATTGCCATCCTTTGCCAGGGTAGGGGCCCCCATCTCAGGCCACTGGGGCCCTTCCTTGGTCCTTCAGGAAGGACCTTTGGTCAACACCCCTGAAGCAGACTGTGGTGAGAAGGAAGAGGAAGAGGAAGAGGAAGAAGAGGGCACTTTCCAAAATCGGTGCCTGCTGCCAGCCACACCCTGTTTGGTGATAGAGAAAGGTCCAGGCGAAGCAGGGTCCCATCAGGGCACCTTCCCCCGTTCCTGTCCTCAGCCCACACTCCTGCGGGTGACCTCACCGCCCTCCAGGGCTGCACCTGTCACCTGGCCCCGGGAGGCCTGGGCGGAGCTCCACCCTGACCCCTACTCTCAGCTGCCTCCACCTGGTGGCTCAATGCCAGGCCGCCCACCTTCTGTTCGGCACTCCGCTCCAGCCTGCCGCCCATTTTCACACCGAGCCCGCTGCCCTGGCTCTGGGCCCCTGACTGTTGGTGCCTTTGTGGCAGAAGCAGGGTTCTGGGCAGGACCCCAGGATGGTGCATCTGTGTGGCCGGGGCAGAGCCTGAGTGTCTCCTCTGTAAAGAGGGGAGAGCCAGCCCCGCCCCGAATGTCCATGGAGCCTGTGGATGCGGCCCGGCACCAGGCGGCCCTGAGCCAACAGCAGGTTCTCCTCTCCAGCCTCACTGCTCGCTCTGTAAAAGGGGGACAATGAAAGTACCCACCTGCAGCGCCGTCATGGAGACATCTCGGCACCCAGCACAGCGGCAGTAACTTAGCAACTGTTTTTCATCCTTTCTCTTCTTTTTAAAGGTATAGGCATTTAGGGCCTCCCCAGTGGCGCAGCGGTTGCGCGCTGGGTTGAGAAGCTGCCCGCAGCCTCTGCAGTGCCAGTTCGATCCCCGGCCAACGGGCGAGGGTCCCACATGGCGTGCAGACCTCCCCTGCCGCCCGCTGCTCCCCCCAGCAGTGTACTTCCTCAGTCTGCCTGTTCTGATCTCCCCCACCCCCGACTGTGGTGAATTCTCTCACCCTCCTTCACTTCTGACTGTGCCCAGTGCTTGTATAAATAAATAAATAAATCTTCAAAAAAAATAAAAATAAAGGTATAGGCATTTAAGGCTTAAAGTAACACGCTTAACTCCCCCAAAAGTTTGGAATTTGGTATTTTTATTATTGCTCAATCCGAAGCGTTCTTATTTCATTTCCATTAATTATCCTTTTAAAAATGGACTGTGTATTAGTGACGCCTAACTTAGTTACGCTGTGATCAAAGACTTGGCTACCGATACTATATGCTACCTATGCATTAACACCTGCTCCAACTAGCTTCACACTCAATCACGCGATCAATTTTTACTTCAGCGAGCCAGCCATGTGTTCTTGAGCTTGGGTAAAAGTATATTCACCAGATGTGGGTCACAGAATTCGACAATAGGTCTACTATCTACCACCATTCATAGTTACAAAATTGTGTGTGTGTGTGTGTGTGTGCTTGTATGGTGAGAATTTGTGGTATCTACTCTCTCAGGAACTTTTTAAATAGGAAACAGCATTATTAACTATAGTTACCATGCTATGCCTTACATTCCCAGAACTTAATTACTTTCTTACTGGAATTTTTTGTCTTTTAAACCCCTTAACCCACTTCACCCATCTGCCACCCCTTTGGCACCCACCCATCTATTCCCTGAATCCGTAAGTTCCGTTTTTTGTTGGTTTTGGTCTTAGATTCCACATATAAGTAAGGGTAGATATCTTCTTACAATATGTCTTCAGAAGTTGATTGGGTGAAAGTGTGTTTTTTAAAGAATATGTCTTCATCTGAAAATGACTTTATTAATAATAATTTCATTGGGTGCACAATTCTAAAGCAATAGTTTTTTTCTTTTCAAAATACTTGACAATGTTACTCAACCATCCTCTGGATTTTCATTGCTGCTGTTAAGAAGTCTTCTTCTCATGTGTTATTCCTCTAGAGTTTTCTTTCAGGAATTATTTAAGAGCTCTCTGTCTTTGGTATTCTGCAACTGAACCACTATGGGGTGTGTGTGTGTGTGTGTGCACGCGCGCGCACGCGCATGCAAGCACAGGCAGTGAGTAGTGCTTGGAGATTTTCCTCACCCTCAAGATCTCAACAATATATTTTAATCATGATCCAATTCTTTTATGGAAGGAAGATTACCGAGAGTAATGCTCTGCCTTAATTCCAGAAGAAGTTTGTGTGTTCTAGATATACAACCATGTGTGTACACACTTACAGGATATAAGCCCCTACGTGTGTGCATCGCTCTATGCATACATCCATGTTTGTGTGTGTGTGTGGGAGGGTTGTGTACACATCTCTGCAGTCCTTCTAGTTCAAGGGTAAACTCTCCAGGTCAGGGGATTTGTTCTGCCTTGCACTACCTGACGACCACCACCAGGACTCACTACCACAGTCAGGGTCCCACAGGCTGCCATCGGGTGCTCACACTTACTGGGGAAAAGAAGCCTGGCCTCACCACATCTCTCCATCCCCCCACCTGTCTCCTCCACAGCTCTGCCCCCAAGGGCTGCACATCCTTCAGCATCAGTGCCTCTACGGCAGTGGTCGTGCGCGTTGCCCACAGCCCTCCAGTCAAGAAGAAACCCACAGGTCTCTTCAAGTGGCCGCTGGATCCTGGGCTGGAGGTGAGCCTGATGATGAGGGCTGCCAGCAGCAGCACCGGTGACCAGAAGGTAAGCAGGGCAGCAGCGAGGTGGGAAGCAGGGGAAGGGGTGAGCGGGTCCAAGCAGATCAGCTACTCACAGTCTGTCCTGCTTCAACCCACCATCTCAGCCCTGGTAGAGCCTCCTCTCTGGAAAGCCATGGCCTCTGCATGGATAATAGAGGGATGCTGGTTATGGAGGCCTGTCCATTTTCTGGTTCTGCAGGTCTCCTCCATCCTTCCTGCTTGCTAGAGGCAGGTTTTGTGTCTTATAACCAACAGTCTCAGTCTCCCTTTGATGCCTCTTCTGCCATGTCTGTAACTGTAGAACCCCTACTTCACTCCCTGGCACGGGGCAGGCAGAGTAAGCTGCTCACTTTTGGATTCCTCATAGGCCCTCTTCTATTCCCCATAGTCATCTGGGGGTGTGGTACCCCTCCATTCCCTCAAGTTAGGATCCTCCTTAATAGGCTGGGACTACCTTGGCCCATATTCATCCCTTCAGCACCCTGCTGTGAGCTGGCACCTAGCAGGGATCCAGTTAGTGTTTGTTGAATGACTGAAAAAAAGTCATTTATGCTTTGCTGGTGTCTATTAGGTTCGGATCTCATACTATGGAGACCAAACTGCCCCTGTGCAAGCCCTGCTCTACATCACTGGCATTGGTAAGTGATGACCAGGATCCTGGGACACACACACACACACACACACACACACACACACTGTAAGGCATTTCTCTAGAAGAAACTATACTCTGGAGCTTACTTTAGACTGAGCAGAGAAAAAGGATGTGTAGCCAGTCACAAATCTGGTAATCCACAAATATTCCTTTTCCAGTCAGTGAAACACAAAGAAATACAACTGGGAAGTGATGATGTTTTCAGGGAATTTTAATTACATTTTAGTATTTTATTTCTCAATTTAGAAAATGATACTTGGCTTTGCAATAAATAAGCTTCTACGCCTTTTTGGCACTTCAAATATTTATAAGAAAAAATAGATGGTGCTGCTGTCTGATGTAATAATATAGACCAGTGTATCCCAAATTCTATTATTTACATCACCATTTTTGCCACATCCATCAACTATTACTCATACTTATTGAATATTCTTCTTTAAAGTGCATTTTAAACTTGAGCTCCTCTTGAGTAATATCACAATATTATTATCCTTTAAATGGCCACTAAATATAGGAACAGCATGTGACAACTTAGGCTTCATTTCATAAATGAGTTTCATTTCATGTATGAATCAATTCATTAATTACTTTAATGAATTAATTTAATTTAATAAAATATATTTCATTAATGGTGACTTAAATCACCATTTAATTAATTTACTTCATTAAATAGCCCTTACTCTGTGCCAGATACTGTGCTAAGACTTTACCTTTAAACCTTACAACAGCCCAAACAATGAAGCAGGTACTATTACTATCTCATTTTACAGGTGAGGAAACTGGGGCACAAAAGGTAAACAAGGTCAGGTACCTGGTCAGTGTAGAAGCAGGAAGTGCAGACCAGGAAGCCCCACGCTGCCCTGGCCCTCCACTATACATGCTGTGAGTGTAGCTAAAAGTCACAGCTCAATCTCACACCGTGACCCCCAAGGTCACGCATCACCCGTGGGCACGTGGTCTTCTCACTGGAATGACAGTGGCGCCACGTATTCTGATGGTGGGGGAGACCTCACAGCCAACAGGTGCTTTGTCAGTCATGCCATTTAGTCAGTGGGGCCTGGTTGGGGTCATGATGTGTCCCCAGGACAGTCTCAGGGCACGATGACGAGCCAGCTGGGAGCATGACCACTGTACTCCCCTCCCAAGGTCCCGGGGGGCTGCAGTCGGGACCAGAGGCATCAAGCTCCTGGGAAGGTGGCCTTGTGGTGTCTCCCTGGACAGCCCCGGAGGGTGGCTGGGGATTCTTTCTGGAACCCCTGGGATGCCCAGACTTGCTGGGTCTGTTTGGTATCACAGACGTGGCATTGCTTTCCCTGCCCCCACCCGCTTCCCGCAAGGGTTTGGTTAGAAGTGCTGGCTCTATTGTCTGAATTACAGCCAGATTTCTTGGGGGGCACAGGAGTGTCTGAACCTGAACGCCTCTTCCCTGAAGGGGAAGGAGAGGAGTCCCGGGCAGACAGTCTCCTGGGGGGAAGGATGGTCCTTTGGGGCTAAGCTGGATGCCCCCAGCCTATATCTTCACCAGCCCTCTCCTCTTACTTGGTGGGATTTCAGAAATCTCCTTGAGCGCGGACATCACTCGCTCGGGCAAAGTGCAGCCGACCAGAGCCTGCAAGGACCAGGTACCCCTCAACCTTGACGCGCTGGGTTCTCCTCGGGCCCCCTCTGGTGGTGTTGGGGCGAATAGCGTCCTTTCACAGCATCCTAAGTTAAGGGGAAAAGAGACCGTTTGGGAAGAAGAAAAAGAACATTGAAGTCACTGTTGCCACCCGGGTTTAACATTCCTCATCTCGGTTACAAAACTAGATTTTCACCGCTGATGGGATTCTCAGAGAATGTGTTGTCGTACAAACTGGAAACTGCAGAGTCACCAAGTTAATGCAGAACAGAAGGAAAATCTGCAGCAGATTTTGACTCTGGCTCAGAAATCCCCCACCAGAGACATTATCCACTGGTGGGAGAGATTGTCCTAGTGCTACCCGCCTGGGTGAATAATAGAGAAGGGAAGAAATGGCGGGAGGGGTAGGGAGGAAGGAGCCAGTGCAGGGTGCAGGAAATGTGGTTGTGGAAAGATAGAATAGTGGGGTGCATGGAGGTGGGGCATGCAGAGGTGGGGCATGCAGAGGTGGGGTGTACAGAGGTGGGGCATGCAGAGGTGGGTTATGCAGGTGATGAGTAGTCTCAACTGGGGTCCGTGGACAAACTCAGGGTGCCCCTAACTTGCCTGCTCAATTTCATGCTGGTACATACTTCGGGAAGCCGTGACCTGTCAAAAGATTAGTAGGATCCATTGGTGGCGGGTTAGTCAAAAGTGGGGGGAGCATTACACACTGGGAGCGGAATCCATCTATGGCCCACCCAGAGTGCAGTCATTCCTGGGTTGGGGGGCTGCGCCCTCCTACAAATAGAAGCCTCACCACTGTGAGCAACCTGAGGGAGGGGAGCTCGTCTTGCTTCATCTCCGGATGGGCAGGGAGGGCTGCTGGGAGCTGTGTGGGCTCCTTGGTTGCCCAGTTTCTAAGCGTTCACAGAGGGTAACTAGTCAGATCAGCACTTTGACACAGACGTGTAGCTCAGTTCAGCTTGCCAATCCAATGCTCTTTAAAGCTGCTAAAAATCTGTTTTACCGGCTTGGGCCTCTTGTGTTAAGTCAATGAAATTGCATTTTGGGTGAATTTGTTTATCACTTTGGGTAGAAATCTCCCCTTGGGACTGAAAAATTAGATGTGTGAGGTGAGAGAGGCTGATGACGTGCCGGGGAAGGCGGCCCTGCTTCCCGGGGATGAGGGACCTGTGTGGGCTTCTCAGTGCCCCCCATCTCTGCTGGGGTTCACAGAGCACTTGGACCTGGGGCCCTCGAGGGCGAGGCGCCATCCTGCTGGTGAACTGTGACAAAGACAACCCCAAATCTTCCAGCATGGACTTCGCGGACGACAAAGTGCTTGACAGCAATGGTAAAGACCCCGAGAGGTAGTGGGAGTGGGGTTTTGTCTTTCTATAAAGCCCTTCATTCACGCAGCCTGAGCTGAAACAACCCTCAGGAAAAGGGGTGACTGGAAGGGATGGACAAGGGTCCCCAGAGGACAAGAGACCCACCCAAGGTCACGCCACAGTCAGGAAAGAGCTGGCCCGACACGATCTCCCAGCACCTCCTCCAGGCCCCAGCCTGCTTCTAGGCCAACACACAGCGACCAGCAGCCAGCAGCCTCTGCGGGCACCCCCGGGAGAGGGGCTCTGTAATAGCATTTTACACACACCACCTCCATCTTCCTTCAAGCAGCGCTGTCCATGGCCATTCCTCAGCCCTGTCCACTGACGAGTGGAAAGGACGCCCCCCCTCCCAGCTCCCACATTCCAGGACGCCCCCCAGCCCCCACATTCCAGGACTCCAGCCCCCCAGGCCTCTGACTACCGTCTAGCCCAGGACCAGCTTTGCTCTCCCCACACCTTTGTCACGAGCTACACTTCCTTCTCAGGCCCAGGGGAGAAATCTTTCTGCTCATTCATCCCACAAATAGTTGCTGAGCGCTTCCCGTGCCATGTGCTAGATGCTTCCAAGTCTCCTAGGTCTGAGGAGTTGGGGATGGAGCAACACACAGAAAATGTGGTCCCTGCTCACCAAGTTTACATCCTAAGGAGGACCCAGTAGGAAAAGACCACAGACTTGATTTGCTGTCACCCCAGAATGAAACCCTCATTTAAATACCGGAAAGCGCATAAAGTAAATAAAAGCAGACAGCACAGTAAAGGCGGTCCAAAGGGCAGTTGGGGGAGCCGGACCCCGCCAGGAGGGCCTCAGCGGCCTGTGTCTCAGGCCACATCCTTCTCCTCCAGACCTGCAGGACATGTCCCTGGTGACCCTGAGCACGAAGACCCCCAAGGACTTCTTCACCAGGCATCAGCTGGTGCTCCACGTGGCCAAATCAGAGATGGACAAAGTCAGGGTGTTTCACACCCACTGTGAGTTGACCGTGGCCGTCATCTTGGTGTCCCTTTACTGTCCTGGCCCAGGGGGTGCACCCTCCACACCCCCTTCAGGGAGTAACTCCAGAGCACCCTGTGGTGTCAGGTGCCAGCCTGTGCAGTGGGAGTCAGTGTGAAGGGTTAAAGGAGATGAAGGTGAGGGGGGAAGGGCAGACAGGAAGGGGCCAGGTCAGGAGTAGGTGACCTTGGCTCCTAGTCTAAAGTGCAACCTGATCTGACTCGCTCCCATTCTAGACCAAAGGGACTGGACAGACATGGGTTTGGTCACTCCTAGCCTCTGCTGAGGCATCACCTCCTCCAGGAAGCCTTCCCTAATCCTCTGGCTTCCCTCCATCACAGCAGTTATCACCACCTCTTATTATGACTGTTTTTACGCCTTTCTCCCCCTCCGTGTGACTGTGCACTTCCCGGGGACCAGCATAGTCACTGTCTCCCTGGTCTCCCCAGAAGAACAGGGGTGTGGAAATGAATGAAATGTGAATGAGTGAATGAACGAATGAACCATAATGTATGTTTAACTTCTTGTAAGTTGGGAAGGGCTTAGGCATATCCCATGGAGGCCACTCATGAACCCCCCGCCAGGGGTCGATGTCCAGCTGAGGCTTTGTCCCTTCCTACTCGGGGAGACTCCAGCCTGATTATCTGGGAGGGACCCCCCAGAAGGAACCACAGCAATGGGGAGAAGACAGGGCCAACCAAGGTGGGTCGTCAGAGGTGGGAAAGCTGACCTGAGTGCTGCCCCCCCCCCCCCGTCTCCTAGGGGACAAGAAGTCCTCCCGATACAGGGTGATCCTGGGGCCCGAGCAGCCCTCTCACTCCCTCTCAGTCCCGGGCGGCCAGCACTGCGCACGCTTCTATGTGGAAGGCCTTGCTTTCCCCGATGCCAACTTCCCCGGCCTCATTTCCCTCACCATCTCGCTGCTGGACATGTCCAACCCGGTAGGCTAAGATGGTGACCCAGAGGGGGGCCTGGGCTCCTGGGCAGTGGCCATTGATCGGGGGGTGAGCCCAGCTGGTCTGCGGGCGGTGGGCATGGGCCTGCCCGCTGCGACAGCCCCTGCCCTGCCCCGCACCCACAGGAGCTCCCCAAGGTCCCGATTTTCCAAGACAGTGTGACCTTCCGTGTGGCCCCCTGGATCATGACCCCCAACACTCAGCCCCCAGAGGAGGTGTACGTGTGCAGGTGAGGGCCCAGAGCGCACGATACGGACTCGCCAAGAGGCTCCCTGGTCCAGAAGGCTGTTCTAGCCACCAGCCACTTTCTTTTGTTTTTTTTTTTTCTTTTCTTTTCTTTTTTTTTTTTTTTTTTTTTTTGTGGGACCCTCGCCGATGGCCGGGGAACGAACCAGTGCTGCAGAGACTGCGGGCAGCCTTGCAGCCCAGGGCTCGATCGCTGCGCCACCAGGGGAGGCCCCCACCAGCCACTTTCTGTGTGAATGAGAAAAAAAATTGAATCTCCGCTGTGATTTGCGGAGGACTCGTGGCTTGTTTAAACCATTCAAAGGCAGAGAAATCATTGCTTTCGTTGTGGGGACCCTGCCTGGGAGGATTCAGCTGCTTTTGCTCCTGGGGCCTGAGAGAGTTTGTTAGACCTGGGAGAGCAGAACCCACAAGCCGTGGGCCAGGCCTCCAGGGCTACCCGGGGTGGACTTCCGAGAGTTCCAAAGGCCCTGGGGACCCCCTAAAAATGCTCATTCCTGGCCCACTGAGGCTTCTGGGATTTGTCTCTGGGGGTGGGGCCCAACTGCATTCTAACAAGCTGCTCTGGGGAGCCCCAGCATCATCCTGCCATTGAGAGCTCTCATTAAGTTTCAGGGGGACCTTCCCCTCGCCTCTTCTGATTGCTTCAGGGCCAGGGAGAGTATAACCTGGTGCTCAGGACACAGGTGAGGCCAACGAGACCTGGGGTTGAGTCCCAGGCCTCTCCCAGCGCTGTGACCTTGAGCTTGGACCTCCTGCTCTGCCTTCCCCCTCGTTGGAGGGGCTCCCGCAGGCTCCCTGCATGGATGGGCATGATGGTGCCGCGAGATAACGCTTGTTAAGTCAGACAGGATGAGCCAAGCATCTCTGTCCAGGCCTTAGGCCCTGTATACCCCCGGTCTGTCCAGGCCTACGCTCTTCCTCTACCCTAGGGACCCCCAGAAGTCCATCTTGCCCCTCAGAGCTCTGCCAAGGCCACTGAATCCAGAGCACTACGGAGCTTCTTGCCTGCTCTTTCTAGCATGTTTGAAAACGAGGACTTCCTGAAGTCAGTGACAGCTCTGACCAAGAAAGCCAAGGTCAAGCTGACCATCTCTTCCATGGAGGATAACATGGAGGATCGGTGGATGCAGGTACATGGCCCTGCCAGGGGGTGGGCCAGGGCTTATAGATGAGCGTCCCTGAGGCTGGGACACTGGGGCCCTTGGGCTCCTGGGTCTCACCCTAGCGCCTTGTGGTCACCCTTGCTGATAGTTAGAAATCCCTGAGGATCCTCGACTGAGTAGCATCCTCAGGCCAGTGATTCAGTGACATTGGGGGAAGGGTGCTCTTACTCTCCCCAGGCCTCAGCTTAGCTGGGCGCCCTCGAGAAGTCTTCTCTGCCCTACCCCAGTGCATGGAGAGCCCTCCTCTCTGCTCCTGAGACCCCTCACTTCCCCTCTCATCACCTCCTAACACTGGGGGCAGGCAGCCAGCTCCCTGGATCTCTCCATGAGGACAGGGCCTGAGTCTCGGTCACCCAGCTCCTGGCTGGACACCCTTCGGGGGTGGAAGCGAGGGACATACAGGATGTCGTAACACAACTGTGCAGATCCAGGCAGGAAGCTGCTTTCTCAGAGCCCTTTGCTGGGATCTGTCCTCAACACATGGATTTGGCCTTGACCACAGTGGGCAAGGAACGTGGCTGATTCCACGTCCCCACCCCTGGCCTGGGGGCCAACACCCAGGCCTTGCGTCACAGCCTCCCTCCCACTCGCTGCCACAGGATGAGATGGAGATCGGCTACGTGCAAGCCCCGCACAAGACGCTGCCTGTGGTCTTTGACTCTCCCAGGAACAGAGGCCTGAAGGAGTTCCCCGTCAAATGTTTGCTGGTACGTGCTGGGGGCACCCGCTGCTGCACCCCTTTGCCTTGAGGCTTCTTCCTCATCGCCTGTCCCCTCCAAGCCACCCCTAGGCCCCGGCTCCCCTAGTGCAGCTATCATGCAGGTGGCCCTGTTATTTCTATTACCGTGATGAGCTCTGGCCCTTCCTTCCCCAAACCTCTTCCCAGCCCTGAGTTCACCTCGCCCTCAACATGACCCTGCCGGGGAAGTCGGTCGGGCTTGGGCAATCCTGTTCCCCAGAAGATGCTCTTGCTTTGAGGTGGGGCCAGGACCGGAAGCTTTCCCAAGTTTCAACTGGAGGCTCTGCCTCTGGTGGGGTCTGGTCTTGGCCGAGGTGGTGGGGGGCGAGGGGGGCATCAGGGGTAGGAGCAGGTTTCAGGATCAGTGTAGTCATTTCCCAGCTGTGGCTTTATCAGCCAGAGTGTCTACGTGCATTTGGGGGGATGGGGGGTGACATTGGTGAGTCAGCGTTACTAGCCTGGCAGGTCCGTGCAGACTCAGCACAGGCGATCATGACCCTGGTTACCTTTGTGAGCTGCAGCCTGTGGGTCGCAGCGCTGTGTTCTTTAAGTGCACCGAGTCATTGCATGGAACCGACAGCCTTTAATGGAGACACTATTACTGGGCCCGTTTTATAGACCAAGGAATGGAGGCTCAGTGAGGTGAAGCAGCTTTCCCGAGGTCACTCAGGAAAAGGGTGGAGGACTTGGAGTTCAAACCAAGTCGGGGTTGGCTCTGTGAGCATGCTCTGCACCACCAGGCATGCCTTCCCAGAAAGACCCCAGGCCCATGCTCCAAGCCCTGGCAGCCCCCCAATTCTAGGAACCAGGGAAAACAGAGCAAAGAGTCTGGGGTGCAAGGTGTGCTGTGATGAATGGCTTTCTCAGGAGCGCTCTGCACCCCCCAGGAAAGGGGAGGTGGCCCTACCCAGGCAGGGTGCATCGAAAGGAGATGGTGAGGGCAGCGGCTGTGTGAGTGACTTGACAGTCATTCATCAAACACACCGGGACCGCACTCAGTGCCAGGCCTGTTCTGGGCACTTGGAATACATCCGTGCACAATGCCAATGCCTCTGCCCTCATAGCCCAGAGGGACCAGCAATAAAAAATAAAGGGAATAAATAAATCATGTCATACATTGGAAGGTGATACCAAGTGCTATAGAAAAAGAAAGAGCAGAATCCAGGGACTCGCCACCGAAAGAGGGGGTGAAACTAGAGAAGAAGAGAGAACCACAGACGGGGCCTGGGCCCCCTGATGCAAAGAAGATTGAGCGGGAGCAGCAGTGAGCAGGAAGCAAACGCACACGTGGAAGGAAGGAAGCACAGGGAACCTGAGGGGGACGTGGCGACCAGCTGCCCGAGACGCGGCCCATGGCGAGGAAGACAAGGCCTGGGCGCGGCCGCCGGCTTGAGCTGTGCGGTCACAGAGCCGGACGGGAGCCGTTTGCCGGCACAGGGGGTGGCTGTCGGGTTGGCTGGGCTTTAGGAGCAAGGGAGGAGGATTGGACATGATGGTTTTAACCTCGTGGAGCCCCAGACCTCCTTGAGACTCATCCTCCCAGAAAAATGGACCTGGGCTTACAAGCTGGAACCCACTTTCAGGGAGTCTGGGGTCTCCAGGAGGCCCCGGGCGCAGACCATTGAGTTGAAGGCTCAGCCTGTGCAGTGGACTTAGGGAGACCCTGTTCTTCTCATGAAAGTCTCTGGGGGAAGTCACCGCCATTCAGCAAAGCCTGTTCCGGCCTGACATCAGGATGCACACAGTGTAGACCAGGAGGGCTTGCTGTGGAGACAACTCAAATCCTGGTCCTGCAGCAAACTGGCTCTGGGGACTGAGGAAACCACACTCCCCTCTGAGCTTAATTTCTTTTCTGCCAAATAAAAATAAAAAATGATATTTGGTGGAGTCCTTAGGCCACCCAAGTTAAGGTCTGTCAAGCAGCTGGCATGAATTAGGGGCCCCTCGAGTGCTGGCCCCTTTCCTTGCCAACCTGATTCAGCTTCCCTTCAACATGCCCCAAACAATAACAGTGCCCACCACGTGCCAGCCGCTGACAGATCCTGCCCCATTCCTCTTTAAACTTGGACCTGCCCTTTCTTCCAGGGGCCTAGTTTCACTCATTCTTGGCACATGCTTCTCCTACTTCAGGGCCCAGATTTTGGCTATGTGACTCGAGGACCCCAAACAGGGGGGGTTACCAACCTCGATGCCTTTGGGAACCTGGAAGTGAGCCCTCCAGTCAAAGTCGGGAAGAAGAAATACCCATTGGGTAGGATTCTCATCGGCGACAGCAGCTTCCCCAGGTGAGCAGGGGAAGAGCCGGGTAGACCCAGGGATGCTGTGGGGAAGCAGAGATCTCTCGCACCCATCCCAAGAGGCCTCATCACATGGTCAGCGTGTGGGAGGAATCGAAGTGCAGCTCGAGGCTATGGCCTTAGGAGCCCAGCAGGCCCAAGTTCAAATTCCAGCTCTGCACGTACACACTTGCGGTCAGTGAATATCTACTGAGCATCTACTATGTGCTGGGTACCGTGCTGCAGTTGGAAGACATATAGCCATGAACTTGACAGATAAGTCCCTGCCTCTATCCTATGGGGGAGACACAGAGTAGACAAAATAAACAAACAAGATAATTTCAAATGGTGAAGAAAACAGCAAAGAAAGGGGCAGAGGAGGGGTGGGGACTATGTTAGGGTGACCAGGGAAGGGCATCATTGGGAAGGGGGACCTTGAGTTGAAATCCGATGATAAGGAGAACAAAGCTGCACAGAGACATGGGGTGAAAAGCAGATGAAGGGACGTGTGCCTAGCCCTGAGGCAGGGATGAGCATGGGTTCAGAAGGACAGAGTAATAAAACAGACTGAATGAGTGGAAAAGCAGAGGGGCAAGATCAGGAGGGACCTTGGAGACTAGAGCCAGGAGAAACCTGAGGTTTGGAAGGTGAAGGAATATCCCCAAGGCCATACAGCTAGCGATGCATTGCTCATGAGGTGGGAGGAGCTCCAAACCCCATGTTAATCTGCAACACCAGCATCCAGGCTGAGTCAACAGTATTTCTGAAGCTGAGCTCTGGCCCCATTTACTTGACAGCTCTGGGCCTCAGTTTCCCCCAATAAAACTAGGATGACAATTCCTAAGTTCCTTTAATATAGACTCCTGGAACCATTCCCTACTTGAAGGAGAACCCTGACTCGTTGCCAGGGGCCTCAGTCCCTCAGAGACCTTTCTGTGCCCACCCTGTACCCCTCACTCCTCCCATAACACTCTTTTTTAAAAAACATTTATTTATTTATTATACAAGAACCGGGATACAGGCCAGATTCGTGGGAGGGTAAGAGGATTCACCAGAGACAGAGCGGGAAACAGAACAAGAAGATGGACTGCAAAACACTGCTGAGGGGAGCAGTGGGGAGACAGGAGAGGTCTGCTGCACCATGTGGGACTCTCGCCGGCCAGCCAGGATGGAACCCGCGCTGCAGAGGCTGCGGACAGATTCATAGTGTGGCGTTCAACCCTGTGCCACCAGGGGAGGCCCCTCCCATAACACTCTTAATTCTGTGTGGGCAGCACCGAGAGCCAGGAGATGCACCAGGCCCTGCAGGACTTTCTGGGTGCCCAGCAGGTGCAGGCCCCTGTGAAGCTCTACTCCGACTGGCTGTTTGTGGGCCATGTGGACGAGTTCCTGAGCTTCGTTCCAGCACATAAGAAGGTACAGTCTGGGGGCTGCCTGAAAGAAGCCCCCATCTCCTTCCTGGGTTCCCAAGCACAGCTCTGTACCCTGCCTGGTAGGCCCCATCTCTCATGTCCGACTGTTCCCCCACCCCCAGGAGGAGGTGTGGAGGAGGAGGTAGCCTGGTCCTTTCCCATACTCCCACGGCCTCCTCCTTGGGAGTCCCTTGGGCAAAGATGATGTCTGATCCCAGTGTTTCTGCCTCCAGGGCTTCCGGCTGCTCCTGGCCAGCCCCAGGTCCTGCTACAAACTGTTCCAGGAGCAGCTGAAGGAGGGCCACGGGGAGGCTGTGCTGTTTGAAGGGGTCTCCAGTAAGTTGACCATGAAGGCCACATCTTCCATTTAGAACCTTCCTCACCTTCGTGTGGTCTATTACTTGATGGAATCATTCAGGCAACAGATGTCTTCTGAGTACCTACTGTGCACCAGGCACTGCGCAGGTGCTGGGGCTACTGAGTGACCTAGGCAGAATAGCTCCTTGCCCCCTCGGCTCACGTCCAGGAGGAGTCAAGAAAACAATGACAAACCCAGGCTTTCATGGTGTCTGGGAGGCGCTCAAGGGAGGCTTCCTGGAGGTAGCAAATACCAAGCAGGAGCATGAGTAATGAGCAAGGTCTGGCCAAGGAAATGGGACAGTGAGGTGAGAGACATTCCAGGAACAGGGCACAGTGAATGCTGGTCAACAAAGACTCAGAGGCAAGAGAAAGCAAGATGTGCTTGAGGACTTGAAAAATGGTCAGTGCTGGGGCACTGAATGAAACATTTTTTTCAGTAACATCTACAAATTTAGGCAAGGGTCAGAGGTTGTGAAGTCTCCATGGCTCTTTTACCTGTAGCTATCATGTGTCCTATGGGACAGGACCTCTCTTTCCCCCTCGTCCCTTGGATCCCTTTGGACATCAAAGAACTTAAAGGAGCGAGAGCAGCACTTTTAATGAGAACTTACTCAGATAAAATATTTTATTAAAGGCTGCCTCCCAGATGCTCACAGCAAATCAGTATGTCAGGTGTTATTGCTGCCCCATTTTACAGGTGGGGAAAGTAGGTCCCCACTGTACCTGAGTTCATCTGCCTTCCTTACCCCCTTTTCTTCTCCATGACAGGAAAGAAACAACAGAAAATAAAGGACATCCTGTCAAACAAGAAATTGAGAGAACATAATTCCTATGTGGAGGTACTAGCTTGGGTGCCCGGGAAGGCCCGACACCCCCTCACCCCCACTGCAGTCACCTCCCTGGCAGTTATAGAAGCAGGAGGCAGAGTCTTCCAGGGGGAGACCTGGCACTACCACAGGAATACACACAAGTGATGGAGAAGAATGTCAGGTGGAGGCAGAGAGAGAAGCAAAACCCAGACACAGTGGGACTGGAAAGACAGACACAGAGGCAGAGGGACTGAGCACAGCGAGGGGGGCTGCGGGCAAGAAAAGGAGGTCCTTCAGGGGGTCCCTGTCCCTTCTCTTGGCCAGGGCCTCAGGCCCACCTGCAGCGCCTGAGCTGGTCCCGCCACCTGCAGCTAGCCAGCCACTCGCTGGCCCCGCCCATTCCCCAGGCTCCGCCCCTGCGCCAGGCCCTGCCCCAGTTGGCCCTACCTATGTCCACGCCCCTCCCCTGCCCCGCCCACCGCCCCAAGCCCCTCCCACAGTAGGCCCCGCCCCGGTCCAGTCCCCACCCACTACATCGGGCCCCGCCCCGCCCCATTTGGCCCCGCCCATACCCACGCCCCACGGCAGCCCCTCCCCTGCCCCGCCCTTTGCTCCAAGCCCCTCCCACAGAAGGCCCCGCCCCGGTCCAGTCCCCACCCACTACATTGGGCCCCGCCCCGATTTGGCCCCGCCCATGCCCACGCCCCACGGCAGCCCCTCCCCTGCCCCACCCACCGTTCCAAGCCCCTCCCACAGAAGGCCCCGCCCCAGTCCAGTCCCCACCCACTACCTCGGGCCCCGCCCCATTTGGCCACGCCCACTCCCACGCCCCGCCCCGCCCCCAGAGCTGCATTGACTGGAACCGCGAGGTGCTGAAGCGCGAGCTGGGCCTGCGCGAGCAGGACATCGTGGACATCCCGCAGCTCTTCAGGCTCCAGGGCGACGGCAGAGGGGCGAAGGCCGAGGCCTTCTTCCCGAACATGGTGAGGAGATGGCGTTCGGGTCGGTTTGCGAGTGGCCTTAACCCGGAGGCCTGCGGGGCGCGGGAGGGGGAGGCTTGGTGTCTGCGCCCCCGGGGTTCCAGGCCCGGCCAGCCCGCGCCCCTCCGGCACCTCCCGGCCGCCCCAGGGTCAGACGGTTGTTTACGGGCGAGCTTACTTACTCCTGCTCGCGGAGAGGTGGGGGCGCTGGCACAACGCGCACCCCGAGGCGGGCGGGGTCAGAGCCAGGGCGCGGGCGCAGCGTGGCCCCCTCGCGCTGCCCCCGGGCGCCCCAACGCCAGCCGGCAGCTCCGGGGGTGCGGTTGGAAGGGAGCTAAGGCACCTCTTCAGAGTGGTGGTCTGAGCAGTGAGGCTGGCACTGCCTGTGCGGGTGGGGTGGGGTCCCCCCTTAAGAAGGATGAACTTGAGGGGATCCCACTTGTGTCAAGAACGTGTAACCCTGACCCCCAAGCGCCATCGTGAAGTCATCTTGTTTTTAACCATCCCTCTGCCCCGTTACTCTGTCTCCTCAAAGGATACCTGAGGGCCAGACACTTGACCCAGTTTTGCTGGGGCCCCTCAGCCACCCCCTCCTACTGGGGGGGGGGTTACGTTCAGGAGGGAGACTGAGTCCCTGGCACAGTGGTTCTCCAACTGGATTCCCCAGGGCTCTGGGGTTCCAAGTGCCTCATTCTGCAAAACATTCTGTTTAGATAAAGGGTCACTTGGCCAAAACAATGCGAGAAGGGGCACCCCCCTCTCACCCACTGGATAAAATGTCTTGGTCCCAAGCGTTTGTCTCCTCTCTGGGTTAGTCTAGCGGGGTTTCCCAGCCTGGTGCTGGGGGCTGGGGGATGCAGCGTCTCACGTGAAGCAGTCGGCCGCCTGGGGGCTCAGTCTGTGCCTTCTCTGTTCAGTGCCCCTGGAGGGAGCGGGAGCCTGAGCCAGAGCCACAACTCACCCCAAGAGCCTGGGGGATTTGTGGGCAGCCTCACGGAAGAGCTGCCATTTGAGCTGGGCCCTGGGAAATAGAGTGTGCCCGAAGGTGGCGGGTGGGGAAGGAGAGTGTGATGCTTAGAGCATGACCCTCGGAGTCCCACAGACTGGAGCGTGAATCCTAGACTAGCCAGTAGCCTTAGGCAGCCTTTGAGGGTCTGTTTCCTCATCTGTGAAGTGGGCTGCTATTGCTGAATGCCCGAAGAGGAAGGACACTCGGATGGTGATGCCGCCCCCCCGACTGGGCTCCCACTCCTTCACAGGTGAACATGCTGGTGCTGGGCAAGCACCTGGGCATCCCCAAGCCCTTCGGACCCATCATCAACGGCCGCTGCTGCCTGGAGGAGAAGGTGCGGTCCCTGCTGGAGCCGCTGGGCCTCCACTGCACCTTCATCGACGACTTCCACACCTACCACGTCAAGCACGGGGAGGTGCACTGCGGCACCAACGTGCGCCGGCAGCCCTTCTCCTTCAAGTGGTGGAACATGGTACCCTGAGGACCCCCACCCTCCATCCTCTCCTTGGGAAGCTCTGGTCCCCTGCGGCGTGGCATAGCAGGGCTCTTGGGGGACATTCTGGCTCCCTGGGGGTGACCCCGTGCCAGGCAGTGGCCTGCTTCCTTCCCCGGGGCCCTGCACCTGGGCTCCTCCCTCTTTGAAGATCCCAAGATGGTCCCGACATTGCAAACTCAGTTCTGCGGTTAAGAAGCTGCAATAAAGTTTTAAAGTCACTTTGTACGTGAGGTCAAACTCTCATTCATTCATTCGCTCACGCATTGTCATGGCTGAATTGAAATGACAAACTTGAAGGTCCTGGCAGGGTATGTTGAAGGCCAGTGTCCTTGCATGTGTCTCTTGTTCCCAGGCATATGCTTGGTCTAAAAAGGCCTCTGTGATCTGAGCCTAGTAGATTCTAAGCTTTTGAGAGAGGGTGAGGGCTGAGCCCCCCTGAGGGTGTATCACATCCCTCCTCAAAGCTCCGTTGAAATCAGCTCCAGACAGCCAGCCGGGGCTGTACAGACGTTCATGTTCTGCTTTAATGTCTGTGTCTGTATGAAATGCACTCCAGTCTATGTATATTTCATGATAAAAAATAAAATTACAGAAAATAGGCCGAGGACAGGGATACAAAGGCAGGAAGACAATCCCACCTGCGAGAAACAGCGAGCCGAGGAATTGCATCCCCATTTTTGGAGTCTTTTGAGAAAGAGGCAACAGACAAGGGAGACAGGAACCCAAGGGGAACCCACGGATGTGACTGTTAGGTCACCCACACCCAGATGTCAGTGAATTCTGCCCCCCACGTTTGTTGTTTCCATCCCGCTAGCTTGAAAGCCCCACAAAGCAGACTCTTGCCCCTGCCGTGTGCTCTGGGCCAGCAGCTCCCAAGAGCTGGGCGTGGAGCATGGTAGGAATTTGGGGTTCTGCGGGAGGAAGTAGTCCCCTTTGTCCTTTATGCATACAGTTGATCTTTGAACAACGTGGGGGTTAGAGGCACCAACCCCTCCCTGCATGGTTGAAAATCCAAGTATAACTTCTGACGCCCCCCAGACTTAACTAGGATCATCCCTTGCTATCAGTGGGGAATTGGTTTCAGGGCGCCACTAATTACCCCCTTCCCTTCAGATACCCAAATCCCCAGAAATTCAAGTCCCTTTTATTGGCCCTCTGTATTGGGGGTGCTCTGCACTCACAGATGAAACCAAGTGCAGGTGCCCAGCCCACAGACGTGGGGGGCTGTTGTTTGAGAACCATCCTCGGGTAAGTGGGCCCTTGGTGTTCAAGGGTCAGCTGTATCTCCTCTCAGGGCCCTGACACAGGAACTTAGGCGCCTTTGGAGAAAATAAAACCTGATGACTCCAGATCTTAGAACTGAAACCAGACCTTGGCTCCATGGAGACTGAGAGGCTGAGAAAATACTCAGAGATACTGATTTCATGGGAATCATGGGTGGAGAGCAAACGCTGGTGGAAAAGATGGACCCCAAAGTCTGTCAGAATAGCATCAGCTCTTCTTCCCACCCCCAGAATTTGCTGGGGCAAAAGATGCAAGAGCAATTCTTGTGGCCCAGAAGGGGGCCATGTGCGCAAGGAAGCTGACAGGAGGGCCTTCCAAACTTGGCCATAGGAGCAGAAATGGCTTCCTGGAGCAGAAATGGCCTCAGCACACAAAAACCAAAGATTTTTTCAAAACTCCTGGGCCTGCAGAAGGATTGGGAGACAAGTGGGTGGCTTAAAGAGCCCTTGCATCAAATAGTAGCAGGTGGGCCTCCCTTCTGAGTAAAAGCAGGTGAGCCCCGAGCAAGGTAAATGCAGGTGAACCCCCCCATCAAGTAAATGTAGGAGTTCCCTCTAATCCCCTGAAACTGGGGTGCAAGGTCCCAGACCATACCCCAAGAATTTTCCAGGCCCAGGAATTTGCAATTTTAACAAGCCCCAGTGGGTCATTTTTGCAACGAGCAGAACTTTGAGAACCAGTGGTCCCACGCTTTGCAGGGCTCACCCTGTCAATTTCCAGGGAACACACTCCCTAGATGGAGCCCCCAGAGCCTGGGTGCTGCCATCCTGACCACTGCCCCATGCACGCCCGTGGGCATTTCCTCCTGACAATGTCCAGCCCAGGCAGTCTTTCAGCACCAGGTCAAACAGTCCAGGCACCGGCTTCCAGAACCCCCTTGCTCAAGGTCAGAGACCTAACAGTCAGCCTCAGCTGCCTCGGGTCTGCGCACACCAACTGCCTAGTAAATTAGCGAGAAGGGGCTCCTCTGCACCTCCTCTCTTCCCAGCCACCCTGGATGGAGAAAATCACGCACACCCGGGCAGCTTCTGCTGCCTCAACAAGGGGGCGGGCAGGCGAGACCTTGAGCCCGTAAGAGGGGAGGGCGGCTCAGAGCCCCGGGATCATCCGAGGCTGCTGTGCCGAGCGAGGTCCTCAGGTTGGAGAGCTGTGCCATGTCCTTCCAGCGCATCATCCGCCTGTCCCTGGACAGCGCCACCCACGCCACGTGCATGCTGGGCACGGAAATCTCCTTGGATCTCCATGGGTGAGGAACTGGGGGCCGCCACGGCTGAGTGGCTGGTGCCTGGCCCCTCCCTGGATTATGTGGGAGTGGGGGTTACCTTCCTCCTCTGCGTCTTCAGGTTCTGCCTCATCTTGAGGTGCCTGGCTTGGGTCTCCAGGCTCCTTAGCCCCGATGCTGCCGAATCCTGCCCTAACCTACTCCTGGCGTATATGGGCTGCATGGCCCCAGGAGAGCAAGTGCCTCCCCTCTCTGTCCCCTTAACTGAAAAAGGTTGGGGGGTGAGGCTGGTTCTCCAGGTATTGGAGAGGATTGAGTGAGGGGGCGTCCTGTAAATTGGAGCCTCGGGGGAGCTGTGCCAATCGCCAGAGGTCAGGCCTTCCCAAATCTCCTGAGCCCCCCTGTGACTCAGACAAACTGCTCCTCCCTCCTTGGGTGATGGGAGCTTAGAAACAGGAAGCAGCTTTGGTAACTTCCAGAGTGCTGACAGGGAGGTGGGGTCTTGGTGGAGATTGTTGGAGGAAAGACATTGGGCCCCTGGAGCCAGGATGACAGGAGGGAGGGAAAAGTTGTTGGGACCCCAAAATGTCCACACCCGCGGCCCCTGCCTCAACACCCTCAGGAGAGAGAGGGTGGAGCCGAGTCCGCCATGCCAGCTTCACTCCGGCTGAGAAGAGGAGATGCCACAGCCTGAGTCTTCTTGTTGGCCACCCAGGTGCGCCCCGCGGCAGTGCAAGTCCTTCGCCGTCACGGGCTCCCTGGGGGTCTCGGTGGATATTCACAGCCGCGTCCCGGGGACGTCCAGGGAGGAAGCAGCCACTGCCCGCTGGCCCCTGTCTGATCCTGTGGATGTGCTGGTGAAGATGGTATCCCCCAGCCCCGACGTCCAGGAGCACAAGGTCAGTCGCGGGGGAGGGCGGCCTCCTGGGCCGCAGCCGGTGTGGCCGAGGCCGTGAGTCTGAGAAACGCGGTGCCCAGTGTCCTGGGCGCCTGATCTGACTGGATACGTGCAGTCAGTGAGATGAGGACTCGTGACCCCACTGTACAGACGTTGAAACCAAGGCACTGAGCAAGGAAGTGTCCTGTCCGCGCTGCTAATTGGCAGAACGGGCACTGAAGCCCCAGTGTCTGTCTCCGTGCGTGTTGGGCTCTCAACACTGGGCTTCAAAGTCTGGCTTCAAAGGTTTCAGCAGCTTCCCTCCAGCGGCCTTGCTGGCTGAGGCTGGTCCTCTGGGTGTGGAGAGCCAACACTTTAAACACACACGTTGCTAGTTACCTTGAGTCACGCACCAGAGACCAACATTACCCTGGCTGACATACTAGGAAACTGAGGCAGGGAGTGACTTAAAGCAATATAGGGTGACTGGGTGGGGTGGATCCAGAATCCTTCCTGAGGAGCTGTCTCCCTGAGGGGCCACCTGAGCCAGGAGAGGTGGACTTCACCTTGTAGAACAGGCTCAGCTTGAGTGGGACATGGGGGGTGCTTTGTAGGGGAAGCAGGTGGCTCCTGCTAAGTGATTGCAACCACCAGGGACTCAACACCCTCACGCCCCCTACCAATCTGGTCAGCCTCGGGGCAGGGCCTGGGTCTGGCTCACAGCGCTCAGGTGACTGCAATGTGAGGCTGAAGGTGAGGAAACTTCAGGAAGCCCCTTCAGGACTGGAGGACTCATGTCCACAGAACCTGCTGGAAGTCTGAGAGTAGAGGACAGAGGGCCAAGCTGGGGTGGCTGGGGGCGGTGCATGTCCGTGATACACTGTGCCCGGGCAGGGTGTCCCGAGGAGACAGCTTGGACACCTGGATAAGAATTGAGTGTCTCACACAGGTGTGAGGCTCTGACCGTCCCCGCTGAGCCCAGCCCCCTGCACTGTGTTCTCTGTGGGGCCTCAGCCGCCACCCCCTTGGGAGTGGCCACGGAGTGAGGTGCTGGACCTGGGAGGACAGAAGCTGCCCTGTAGGGGCAGGTGGCAGTGACATGGGTGCCAGCCCAGCCCCAGGTCATTGATAGTTCTCAGTTTGTGGCAACAAAGGCCTGGAAGCAGCGGCTGGTGGGGGATACTGGGGAGACAGAACCCACTGGAGGCCCACATCTTGCTGCCTGCCGCGTGGGATGATGGGCAGGACCCCAGAAAGGCAGAGTTTAAAGCTCGGCGTCCAGGGCTGGCAGCCTGGATCTTACGTCCTGTGCCAGCTCCCTCTGGCTGAACAACACAGAGCAGGTCCCTTTACCACTCTGCCTTTGGGGGCAGAGCCCATCTGGCTGAGTTGTGGGGGCCTCTGTGGATGTGCTGGGGGAGGGTCTGGCATATCATAAAGGGGGAGTCGTGTGCTCAGTGCTGATGACAGTGTGGTCGCCCTGCACCAGCTCACAGCGGGACCTCGGAGCTCGTCTAGACCAGGGTCCAGGACATGGGTACGTGGTTGGGGTCCTGTCCGCCCCTGCTCTCTGTGGACCCCGGGTGCTGTCTTCGCAGGTTCTGGTCTCCTACTATCAACCCGACGAGGAAACCCCCGTGGCCACAGCTGCGCTCTACCTGACGGGCATCGGTGAGTGCCGTCCCAGCCCGCAGGGAGGGTGGGCCTGGCAGACGCAAGGGGTGCCCAAAGGGGCGCTCCTGGACCGGATGCCTCCCGGAGCCCTGGAGGGGCTCACCCCTTGTTCATTCAAGAACAGTCTTTCAACATTTCTTGCTGATGTAGTAAACC